ACAGCGGCGAAAAATCGCGAGCAACGTTAGACTCGTTGCAGACCGAATTCGTTCGAACAGGTATATACGCGCGCAAGAATGTTACTTCGTTCTCGTCAGAAAAGAAACGACGAATGGGTCTTCTCTTATTACCGAGACATGCCCACGCCAGTCTGCCATTTTTCCACATGGTCCGCTGACATTTGCAAACGTTTATCCTAACGGTAAGATGATTCGTGTCTTGCGGTCGCGGAAAATACCCATCCGATTTTTCAGGTTGCTCCATCGATTCATCGATAACCGCGTTCTTGCTGCACGTTGTCGAGTGTTTTGCTTTATTTAGCGATTGATCGAAGTCTCGAGTAATTTGGCAGGTATGTGGACACCGGTTTTATTTGAGAATCGCACGTCGGATTATACATGCTACTCGCGGAATTCTTGGGAAGTGTTACAGGTTCGAATTTAGCATCCGCAACAATGTTGCATCAGTTCGGTACCAGTTGCACTAACATTAACGGTTTGCATTAGAATTATTCAACATCACCTGATGAGCTATGGACGATGCATTTTGGAACTTGATAATTCACACGTGCAGTAATGAACGAAACAAGTTTATTTGAATATTCTGCATAGCGATGTTTCACGCCAAGTTTGATATTAAGTATTAAAGTTTATAACTCTGCAGTATCGAAGCAAGTGGAGACTGAGTCATCTCTCGATTGCAAAGAGTTAACTCTGTTATATTTAGATACTTTTCCTACCAATCAGTGCCATTTATTACTTCATTCGCTTAATCTCCTGAAATTCTATAAAAATACAAGAATATCAACACTGCTACGTCATTCTCCCCATGTTCTCATTGTTCTAAACTCATACGAATCGACGACGCAACAATATTAACCCTTTGCACTCGAGAGGCAACTCCCAGTCGCCAGATGATTTGACACAGTAAAATTAGAAACTTTTGTATTTGCCATTAACCTTTGTATTCTGCATCAATAGGTTAAATATTGAAAGAAAATAGGTTTGTCCCCTAATTCATCTGTGACTTCTTGATAAATTCATTTCAGAGAATCTTGTCTACATCCAATTGGAAAGTATTGAATATTTCAAATGAAAAACTTCCGAGCGCAAAGGGTTAAATCCTCGAACAACTCTCCCAGCAAGAATCCTCCGTGTAATTCGGTCATCCGGCGTCGATCAAAGACGTCTTCATACTCAAGCGACCCAAACCTCGTTCGAGTCATACCCACAGCAATAGGTGGACCTGATGGAGGCACACGCTGACCGAGCATCCAGCGAAGGAGAAAGAAAGAAGGACGAGGAAGGCATAGGTTGAACCTTCGACCTCGGTACGAGCCCACGACAAAGCTTTCCTCCTCTGTCGTACACGGTTTATCCCAGGCTCGCTGTATGACCTCGAACCGCGGCGCGGTGGCCACGAAATGCCATCCTCCTCCAACCTTAACGCGCCGTTATTGCATCACGTTAATTTCCGGCGAGCAATCTCGCGTCATTTACGTGCCGGCGCAATTACCGAAGGGTTCCTTCGGTCCTCTCCTCAAAGAAGGGGGGAGGAGACATAGAACCTGTACATGTATCTACAGGTAACCCCTATAGAATAGGTCAAGTTCCTAAAAATACAACGTATTACGTGAATCCGTGTTACATGGAACGAAAAACTAGTGCATAGAACACACTTAAATCGCAGGAGATAAAGACTACACTACATTCACGTTATAGCTAAGAGAAATGTGTTCATTAACGCTAAACGTACCGTGTTCGAATCAAAATTCAATTCCAAATTCTGTTTTCTTTCGTCCCCATAATTTTACATCAATTCCCACATCGCTCGATTAATGAGATTCCCAATTTTCGTTTTTCCTTCTGTTTCCACCAAGAAACAAATCATTCCCGAATTCCCGAAAACTAGGAAATCAGTCGTTTATCGAGTTATCGCAGTTTCAAACCGTTTCTCGTTCGAAACTCCAATTTATCCCTGCACATAATCAGGACCCAGCTTCAAACATGGAATAGTGATAACAGTAACAATTAGGACAAACCGTTAAACTGTGCATGTACCCGGCAATTTTTCCCCTATGCTCGAACCATGTTACAGCAAAACCGTGTCGTCGGTACAGGCTGCTGTACAAAGGACTTCCCGTGCCCTCTAACCCTATCCTCGAGCAAAAATGTCTCGCTTACGGCCGACCAGCACGCGGAATGTTCGACACAGGCGTACATCCCGATATTCGAGCGGAGCAACGAACCATAAACCGTCGAGCAAGGCGTGACGCAATTAAAGAAACCGACCTACGGCGACGGAGGGGAAAGAACACGCTGTCTCTCGTGATAGAAATTGTTCCGCGCATAGTAGAACTAGCGGAGAACCTCTCGGAACATGGGTAGAGGGAAGGTACGACGGTGTGGTACGCAATAAGCGGACACCGCGTAGGATCTACGGGCGTGCAAACGTAGAATTCCGGCGCGAAACGCGCGGCCGGCAGGAAAAACGACGAGGCGGAGTCCGCGAAATGCCGATCCTTACACGGCGGTCGCGTCTCCGTCGAAGAAACCGAGACAGAGGAAGAAGTAGAGGATAAGAAGCTCGGCGAATCGCTCAATCGGCGAGGAAAAACGATCAACGGCGTGGAAAGAGGATGCGATCGATCGTAAATACGTTTTGTTCGGGGTTAGAACGGCGATATAGGGGAGAAAGAGGACGTCGTCGACAGGAGGAGAGACTGGTAACGCGAAAAGAGAATCCCGCAGTGAAGAAACCTGGTAGGTGGCAGCTACGGAAAGGCCGCAAGAAAGGTGGAAAGGATGAAATCCAGGAAGCGAGCGGCGAAACACGAGCAAAACGCGGCCGCCAGGGAAGCCTGGCCAGTGACTTGCGTGCCTGCCCGCGAATTACCCAGACTCGCCAATCCCGAGCGACTTCCTCCGCGCTGCCAGCGGGGGGAGGTCGTCTTTTAGCACTTTTACGAAAGTTTACGGACTCGCTCGATCGGCTGTGAACGATTTATTCCGGCCGGGATTTACTCGACGGGGTCGGTTTATGCTGATCGCGAGTAACAAGAACTCGACGCCGCGCATTCCTGCGCGCCCCTAATTCATCCGGGACCTTTTTCACGATCGGAACACGGACTCGCTTATCCACGGGATGCTTTTCGATTAGCTGAATGCTCGTGCATGGAAATATGATAGCGATAGAAGGGTTCCACGTGAGTTCTCGGGGTTCGAATTCGGGAAAATGCGGAGGCCTTTTTGCTTTGATTTCTGTTTAGGTGGTAGATACAAGAAACAATTAGGTTTTTATGAGCAACGGATGCAATGGAAGAATCTTTTTTTTGTTTGCGATGGTTTGACACGCTGACGAGAATTCCGAGCGTTTTGTATAGTAATACTTCTTCGTTCATAATAAAGACAAATGTCATTGGAAATTATGTTGCTACTTATATTACTAAGTATTTTTATTCGACATCAATTTTCTTATTGTAGTCGGTCTGAAGCAATTTGAAATGTACGGTCATCAGCCATGGCAGTCAACGTATTAATGAAATTGTTTAATAACGTATATTCTTTAAATATCGTTCATCAGATTTGATACTGTCGTTCGTTGAATATGCAACTGTAGATTCGATTGTAAGTTACTGTCTGAGATTATTGACACTGGAACTACCAAACAGTGAATTTAGCTTTTCGAATCATTTTATGGATACTCTAAAGGTGCATCTTTTGAATGATTGTAAACGAAAAAACAGAAATGGGTCGTTGTGACTTGTCTAATAGTGTTCATTAGGATTTCAATTGTAAATTAGTAAGAATTGAATATTATAAAAGATGCCCTGTGATTCATGAAAATAACATTTCGTCTAAGTCTGGTCACATCGGGAAAGTTCAGAAACGAATGGAAGTGTCGACATCTAAGCATCAGATTCATGGCCATAACCAGACGAACGAGAAAGAGTTTTTCGCAGCGAATTCTATCAGAGAATGCAAAATAGACCTGTTATTATAATAACGCCGCGATGATTATTCTCCTCATCGCATGGAACAAACGAGAATAGGCGGAGTTTCGCAGCCAAGCTTTTCCAGCCAGGTTAAATAATTACAGAGAAGAGCGCAGCGAACATTAATTCAATCGTTTAGACACGACGATTAGAAACGAGCAAGCGGTTCACGTCGCAAAACAACGTAAACTGCTTCGCTTCCAGATAATGAGAGGGCACGTACGTCGCTGATGAGATTAGAAAAACGCGAGTAGATTTGATTGAAATTACTCCTGTTTCTTCTTTAGATATTGTTCGAACGGGTCCTTGAAAATAATTTGACTGAATATTTGCTCCCTTATGGTATTTATATATTAAGGACAACATTAGCTTCATCATAGGGAGAGATCGATCAATGTTAATATTTGAAAATAAACTGAAGCATGAAAAGACACATTTCAGATTTCCAAATCTTCAAATCTTCAAATCTTTAAATCCTCAAATCTTCAAATCTTCAAATCTTCAAATCATCAGATCTTCATGTTATCAAATTACCATACTATTACATTACCACATCATCAAATTATCAAGTATACCTACCGCATCAACAATGATTATCGCAAGCCCATAATTAAGTTACGTGTTACCTTTAACAAATTATGCAAATCTGCCCGAACTATCCCAGATTTACCTTAGGTGAGGCCGCAATTTTCACGGTGCTTTCGAGTTCGAAGACACCGCGCGGTAGCACGATCTCTCCCTTTTCCTTTGCAGCGTGTCGGTCGGCGAACGACTTGTTCGCAACACGCGCGGAACTCCGGTTGAAAAACCGTTTTAGATGCGCGAACGTGTTTCATTACTCGTCCCGGTTACGCGCGCGCGTCAAGCGTGCGTGCCCGCGGAATTCATTAAAAAGCCGACTCGCATAAGGATCGAGCGCGGCGGAGGACAACGAGAGAGACGCGACGGAGTCGCGCCCGAATCTCATTAACTTTGTAATCAAGAATCCCGTCGCTTCTGTTACAGATGGGCTCGTCCGCGATCGGCACGATGACGACTATGGCTGCGAGTTTCGCGTTCCTGACCTTCGTCGTAGTGCCTCAAGCTGCTCTGGGTGAGTACACCTATCCTTCATTCATTGGGTCCCATTTAGCTAAAGAATTCCCTGCAAAAGCTCGTCAACTAATTCCCTCTGTTGTCTGAAAAAGTTCCTTTCAGACATCTCATTAACCAGTTCTTTCGTTCAACTAAAAAGTTCCTTAAAAAATACGTCATCAACTGATCCTCTCCCATTTAGCTAGAAAGTCTTCAGAAAAGTCGCATTTGACTGGTTCTTCTTTAGCTAAAAAGCTTTCCGTAAGATATCCTTGAAATAGCTTCTGTTTAGCTAAAAGATTTCGTTGATGAAACCTCTTGTGTAGATAGAAGAACCCTCGACTTTCATGTTTGAATTTTCAGCCCGAATAGCGTTCGAGAAGCTAACGGACTACGATTACCGTGGCACCACGTATTACAGCGCGCCAAATCTGACGTTGTACGAGTGTCAAGAATGGTGCAGGGGAGAGCCCGAGTGTCAAGCAGCGGCGTTTTCGTTCGTGGTGAACCCCTTAGCGCCTGTACAGGACACCGTTTGTCAGCTGCAGAACGAGACTGCGGCGACGAACCCTACGGCGCAGCCACAGAGAGCCGTGAACATGTACTATATGACGAAGCTTCAAATTCGACCAGGTAAGAGAAGGCAATTACCGTTTCATCGCACAACAAAATATCACAATATTAAATCAAATAAAATTACCTACCTTCCAAGAAGATTGAACAGCTACAAGAATGAAGCATTTTCCATTGTTGCAAGTTTTGTTAAAATCTAAAAAATTTCCAAGATACTTATTACAGTCTCTAACTTATACGAATGACACTTTAGCTAAATCCTCATATCATTTCCCAATAAAATTTTGAAATTGCGGTGAAGTTGAGAAGAAATGAAATTTTCAGGACTTTAATTGTCCATATTGTCGGCGGAGGGTTAAAGGAAAATTTAGACATTTTTCGCAATCGTTGGAACACTCTAAAACATAACAACCTTTGTTTTTTTCTTTGCCGAAAAATACGAGCACCTGTCCGGAAGAAAACATCGTTTCCTGCAGGTTTGGAATGAAGCTCGAGAATAATCGAGCCACCAGCGCAAATTCGTTAATGAACGTTAATACCCTGTCACCTCCCGCGCTCCCTCGTGCCGAGTACCGAACCCTTCCGAGATCGGCCACGAACAAAGGTGGCCGACGGGACACGCCGGAGGACAGGTCAAAGAAAAATCCCGCAATAAACTGGCGGATCCGTAGAGAAGAGGGGCGGGAGCCCAGAGGACCGGAAAGGTGCGATAATCCGGGTTTAGATGCTAGGTGGCGAAGTCGCCTGCGAGAGCAGGTAGACGTGCAAATAAACTGGAGGAGCTGGTAGCTTCTGCTTGGAGGAAAGGTTGTTTGACCCTGATGATATTGTGCAAACAGCACTCGAACTGTTCCCGCGTTTAAGTGTGTAGAGTTCTTGCTTCCATCCTAACCTACGTCTGAAAATCTTCATCCGCATTGATGTAACTAACTTTCTCGAAATTAAATGAGTTCTTCAACCCGTGTTGAATTGATCTGGAATGAAGGACATATTCCGAATTAAGAAAGGACAGAAACAGTTCTTCGTGAATTTTTTTGAATATACCAGTCATCACTTCATCCCTTAACAACGTTTCAAGAACATACGAAGTCTCAAGTAATTTTACATGCGGCATCAAGCCTGACGCTCAGACAATTTTGGCTAGGGCCAGGGGGTCCTCTTTACCTAAGACGAACGGTCGTCAAGATTTTCACCGAGGGATGAGGGAAAAAGTCTACAAATTTGCCGGACGAACGGGGATACCGCCAGTAGCAAACAATGGAGGATCTGCTGGTACCTTTCTTGAATGGTGTGAGGGATTTCTTAAGCACGGTCGCCGCTGTAAACAGGTACCTGCAGGCGCGCCTGGCGACCGAAGGTGTCGAAAAGATCCCGAGGGGGTCTAAGGAACCCCTAATATTGGTTTAACGAGCCTGCTGGTACCTTCTCGATCCTCGAAAGTGTAGTTTCTGGCTGGGTCGTAAAATCCACTTGGACGAGAGCCCCACCCCTCCTGGGACGACACCCTTAAGGGTAGACTCTTTGCCGGTCCCTCGGCCCGGGTCACGCTTGAAAGCACCGCGAGGAGTTTCGAGGAAGGTTTCCATTTCGCTGAAACTAGCGATTACCTTCTCTCCCTGTCCAGGCGCCTCTTGCCCAACTCCGAGCTGTACCTGCACCCTTGATGACCGGACAGAACATAAACGCGCTAGGGTAATGGGACCATACCGTCCTCATGGTGGACTTGTCCCTCCAATTCAGTATTCATCCCTTAATGTTTCATTGCGACGCCGGCTAGCGAACGGGCCGATATACGCAGAGCCTTGATTAAAGAAACAGGTATAGCACGGAACGATACGCAAAGGTATCGATTTTATTGTTGCAATAATCTTAATGCGATCGTAAAATTAATGTGAAACGTCCACGTTAACATTCTATTCTTGGCCCTGGGCGTATCCACGAATATGAGAGAACTTAAACTAATCATTGGACAGCGGAACGTTCTTTTGTCCGTTAAAAATACGCGGGATATTCATAAAACGCATTCCCTATTAATATTTAATGCGTCACTTCAGTTTTACCTTGCCCGAACCGTTCGCGAAGAGAATTAAATTTTATTCTCTCTCGAATTCTCCGCGAAGAATCCGTGTGATCGTTTCGATTTCCGCAATCTGCCGATAACGAACGCGTACTTTTCAGATGGCTTCGAACGGATTCAGATATCATTGCATTCTTTTCTGTTCAAGTCATATACTATTATTCTGTTGTTAATTGTAGAGCTTTGAAGTATCAAAAGACAATACAAAGTTTGCTCGCTACTACAATTATCATAATTTTCTATTATTAATAGTGTAGCTTTAACACGTTCACAGCGGCGCTTTTTCCATATATGATGATTTACATGAACTATCTACTACTAGTAGTACATGCCGGCATGAACATGTTAAAGCAACAAAAGACGATACAAAGATTTCTCACCGCTCTCGACAATCATTGCAATTCAAACTAAACCCACAAATCCTTCGAGTCTCGACTAATCACGCAGCAAACGCGGTTGAGAACCCCCAACGGCGCGTCTCGTGGTTCGCATCCGCTGCGCCGGTTCTCCGAATAACTGAAGGAGAGGATGGTCCGCAACCGCGGCCACGTGAAAGGAAGAAAAAAAGAGATAGGTCGGTATCCGCGATGAAAAGAAACACGAATATCCTGGGGCCGATCGAGAAACAGTTACGCATCCGGCAGATTCGAGGAAGTGTGGCGAATTTCGCGGTTGGTCGATCACGGGAACGGAACATTCAGCTAGAAGGCGAGGCAACGCGACTGCAGGGGGGCGGGAGAGGGGAAAAGGAGGAGACGAAGAAGAAGTCGGTCCTCGCCAATGCCAAAATCGCGCGCAACATGTGACTTGGCATGATCCCGCTCGTTCTCGCCCGATCCGGAGCGTCTCTGACGCACGAGATGCCGACGCTTTCTGCCAAGGAACCGGGAATATAGTGTTCCGCTGCGAACAGGGAGCACCAGGGTAGGGGCAGGGACGATCGGGTGCAGTGGCGCGCTCCAATTTCTTTTGTTCCGCCCTCGAAACCCGGCGCTAATGTCGAGACTCGAGACGGTGCCAATGAACGGACGCGTGACTCTCCACGACACGGATGATTCACCGCGGCCGTGCGAATTCCTGATCGCTGCCGGACGAACTGACGACCACCGAAATACACAACGCAATGCCACCAGCTGTGCTGCCATCGGCAACGATCGGATCGAACCATTTTCAGGCGAACGTCAGTATATCAGCGACATAAGACTGTCGTATTAGCAATAGACAGCTGCAAGTGCATCATGTATTTATTAAAAGGATAAGGTGTATTTTATAAAGTTCAATGATTAATCTACTTCAGTTAACTTTTTAGTTTATCTATGAAGATTTTGAATACACTAAAAAAATCCTCGTCTACGTAGGATTAAACCCTTCACACGAGTGCGAGTCTTCTCTCTTCTAGTGGAAACATGATTTTACTAGCTACAGGAGTAGCCGATTCCAAGCTCCTTGTCTGGCTATCCTTGATCCCCTTAACGTTGTTGTTTTCGCCAGCGGTTTCCCAAGATTCGTACAAGAGAGAAAGAATTCAATGCATTCCGATCCAGTCAGATTCCAGACACAGCGTTCCTAAATTTCGCGCTCGCGAGCAGGCTGTAAAAATATTTGGCCAGGTTGTTTCTGCGAGAGAGACTATTTTCGGACGTCCTGCGGCTGCGAACGCAGAGGATCCTGAAGACAGCGAGGACGGATCCGAGATTTCTGCTGGAGACGTTTAGCCTCGATCGGACGCCTAGTCGTCCGACCGGCCCCCGTCCCGTCTTGTGACTCATTTGGTAGACGGCCCGAAATGCATCATCGACGGGAGTCGTTTTGTTTCTCGAATTAAATCGTGGTTACGTAAATTTCGGGCGGGCCAACTTCTCGAACGTTATAGAATAGCCGCGTTAGCCGATCGACGACGGCCGCGCGTGCGAATTCTTGACGAGTCGAGGGACCTCGATGACGGAGGGGCTCGTCTCCCCCGTCCGTTCCCGGGGTTATTTTAAGGAAGAACGGATTTCGAGCGGAAGTCCAACACCGCGGGGAACCAGACTGCGGGTGTTTCAACGGTAGACAGTAATCGAGCGGATAGAAGGTTCCGTGGATCCCATTTTATCGCTGATTAATCGTTCGTCTTGTGATTTCTTTCGTGACTATCCTCTTTCAAGTTGCACTATTCTTACTGACGAACTAGAAGAACGTTTGTACGTTCATATTCGTCTATGTTCACTGTTAGACTAGTTCTAAAATAATTGCAATTTTAAAGCGTTAACGACATAACTACCGAACTACTGAAATTCTATCACAGTTATTAAAAAGATGACAGATGTTTGTCTGAGAAATCATTAAAGAAATTGATTTAGTGATATATAAACTGAATTATGAATCAATCGAAATTTCAATAGATGCACTCTTTATAGACAAAGATTTGAAAATGTCAATTTTACTCTTCCCTAGTTTTAGTATTAATTTCTAAAGATTACATGTGAGCTTAAAGTACACGTAGTCAAATATTAAAACACATTTTATTATTCTTTATTATACGTAATTAATAAAGAACATCACGTTGACCGTCATGATTTCATGCAAACGATGATAAATGCGTCTTTCTTTAGACCAAGGTAGTGAAAAGGGTAAATTTCATGTGTCGAATAAACAAGCATCATCCCGTACAAAGTAACCGGCGTTGAAGTATCCTTGGCTGCCCACGTGGGCGTGTGATAAAGGAGACAGGCTAGTACGTTTGTTTGTCGACGGGGAAGCCAAATCGCGAAGAAACGAGCCCCGCATCGAATTTCTGCAGTGCGGCTGGCGTCTGAAATTTATATTGTATAAATAAGCGTTATGCAACGAATACCCTGTGACCCGCGCGCGCGCGCGCGCGCTCGTTGGTCCGTCAGGTGTACGGGCGTCGCGTCTGCGGTCAGGCGTATCCACGTGTCCTACCAATCTGTAAACAAACACTTTTCGCGCGTCATCGGGTTATATAAGTGGTGTCCCGAAAATCGCCGGCTGTTTTGAGAAATCACGTGCTTTACAACGGTCACGCGAACTCGGGTCAACTTAATGCTTAACCATCAGGTTTTGCTTGCCAACGATCAGTGTCTACTTGCAGATATCGGAGCGATCAATCGCTTCCGAAAACAGATTTTCATTGATTGCTAATCTAATTTCTGATTTGTTATTTATATTAACAAAAAGAAAAACTAAATTATTAAATCGTTGCGTTAGTAAATTATTAGGTTATTAAGTTACAAAGTTACTAAGTTATTGATTTTTAATTTGCCAACACTCTAACTTGCTGTCTATCTCAATAAGAAGAAAAACTTAGCTACTAACGTACTAAGTTACTAAGTGATTTATTGTTAATTTTCCATGTGTCTCTTACATTGTACCATTGCTCCTTAAAATAGAAGACAATTTTTAGATCAGCTTTGCAGTTCTCCGCTCTAATCTAATTTCAATTCAACCATGAACTGTTAACAATTTCCAGAGAACGTGTGCCTGCGGCCATGGTCGTTCGAGCGTGTCCCGAACAAGATGATTCGCGGGCTGGACAACGCGTTGATCTACACGTCGACGAAGGAGGCTTGCCTCACGGCCTGCTTGAACGAGCATCGGTTCACCTGCCGTTCGGTCGAATACAATTACGAGATGCTGAAGTGTCACTTGAGTGAATTCGACCGTAGAACGACCGGCCAATATATCCAATTCGTGGATGCTCAGGGTATAGATTACTTTGAGAACCTCTGTCTGAAAGGTGAGGACCATTGAACAGACGCGGATCGCGAATTTATCGGTACCAAAAGCTACGAATCACGTGGTTTTCAGGAAAAGAGGCTTGCAAGTTCCAAAGGACCTTCCAGTTGCCCAGAATCGGCGTGAACGAAAACAGAGTCGCGCAATACGCGGGATTGCATTATTACACGGACAAAGAGCTGCAAGTCCAAAGCGAGTCTGCTTGCAGATTGGCCTGCGAGATCGAGAACGAGTTCCTCTGCAGATCCTTCCTTTATCGGGGCGCCCCTCAAGAATCCGCTTACAACTGCCAGCTGTTCCATTTGGATCACTGGACTCTCCCCGACGGGCCCTCCACGTATCTCACCTCTGAAAGGCCTCTGATCGATGACGGGGGCAGGGTTGGGACGTACTTCGAGAACTATTGCGAAAGTATGGCTTCGTGAATCGCTACGAATATTCATAGAACATGTTTCCAGTGCTCTAATTCATGCACGATCGATTTCAGAGGGTACTGGATCGACCGCGGAACCCACCGTTGTAATCGAGACCACGGAAGATCCTGCGATCAATCTGACGAGAAACGACATCAATTGCGATAAGACTGGCACCTGTTACGATGGTACGCAGAATGTTTATCTGAGTGATTCGTAGCGTTTGTTCGTGGAATAAAAGCATTTCAATATCTTCGTGAAATGAGGAATCTCTATTTTGGGTTGGAATTCCACTGATCCATCCGCGGAGAGTAACGAGGATAAATAAATAGATAGTCGTATAATCTTGATTCGACGTTGATCAAGCGTGTGACTCTTTCTATTCGTGTATCTAATCGCGAGATGTGGTTGCAGTATCGGTGGACTGCAAAGACACGCGGATCGCTGTGCAGGTTCGAACGAACAAACCGTTCAACGGTCGCATTTACGCACTGGGCCGATCGGAGACGTGCAACATCGACGTGATCAACAGCGATCTCTTCAGGCTCGATCTGACGATGAGCGGCCAGGACTGTAACACTCAGAGTGTGGTAAGTGATTACCTGAAGTACTGTAATAATCGCTATATAGCGGATCGTATGCGCTAATAACACAAACTACCAAGAATCCATTGACGCTAGAACTACCAGACATCGTTCTAATCCATGTAAAAATGTGTCTTGATATTTTAATACTTAATAAATAAGAAGCATTTTAAGGGAAGCATTCCTTTAGTTTCCATAAGAAACTATGAATACCTCTTTGCACTCGAGAGTCGAACCTCACTCGGCATGATACGATACATCAAAATGATAAAGTCTTGTACATAATATTAAGCCCTGTGTAATGCATAAATATGTAACAGAATGAAATAAAATATCTTTGCTCCTTAATTTATGTATGGCTTCGCGATAGGTTAGTTCTAAAAAGTGTTGTCTGTAGTTGGCCAGAAAGTGTCGAATATTTCTAGCGAAGAACCTTCGAGCGCGAAGGTATAAGTCACTCTGCTAATTCTAGCGTCAAAGATCCGCGGTGTAGCAATCGCACAGCTATCCAGGCCTAATTCGCACGAGTCCATAAATTCTCTTCAAACTCTCTGTTCACCACGGCAGCGTGACGGTTTTCAGACTGGCATCTATTCGAACACGGTCGTCCTTCAACACCATTCCGTGGTGATGACCAAGGCCGATAAGATATACAAAGTGAAGTGCACGTACGACATGTCCTCGAAGAACATCACCTTTGGGATGATGCCTATCAGGGACCCGGAAATGATCAGTATCACCAGCGCGCCGGAGGCCCCTCCTCCAAGGATTCGCATCCTCGACAGCAGATCCAGAGAAGTCGAGACCGTCCGCATCGGCGACAAGCTCACCTTCAGAATCGAGATCCCGGAAGACAGTGAGTCGCAGCTTTATTATTTATGTCCGGGAAAGTTTTTTCCCAGTGAACCGCGGATGCGAATCGTCACGGACCGATTAACGGAGATTATGATCGAGCAAAATCTGCTCGCTGCATCACGAATTCTGAGGCATTCCAAATAGAATGAGAGCCCCGTTACATTTTACGTTTCTGTGAAAATATGAAAAAAACTTCGCAAATCCTCGAACGAGTTTACTTCGGACAGATGCATCGAATCCACGGTCTATCGATCAGTCGCGGGCTGGAGATTAATTAACATTTTATAATTATTCCAATCGTATCGTCTTTACTGGGAAAAACATTTCAACAGTGTAATTATAGATTATACAAAGTACCGTTATTTTATACAGCTCCCTATGGTATCTTCGCTCGCAGCTGCGTCGCCATGGCGAAAGACTCGAAGAGCACATTCCAGATCATCGACAATGAGGGGTCGGTAGACTTTAATCGTTTGAAAATGCTGTTGCTACGTGGAACTTCCAGTAAACGAGAATCTTTTTTGCTTTTTCCAGATGTCCGGTTGATCCATTGATCTTCCCTAGCTTCACCTCTGACGGAAACGCTCTACAATCCGTCTACGAGGCGTTCAGATTTACTGAATCCTATGGAGTGATCTTCCAGTGCAACGTCAAATACTGTCTGGGACCTTGTGAACCGGTAATTAAAGAACGCTTGAAAATACGGTTGAAACGACGGTCAGTAACAATGGGGTCTTTTGATTGTAGGCTATCTGCGAATGGGAACACGAATCGGTGGAGTCATGGGGCAAGAGACGTCGAAGGAGCATCGCAAACGCTACGGAAGAAAAGGCTGACGATATGACATTGTCGCAGGAAATACTGGTTCTTGACTTCGGCGACGAGAAGCAGTCGGACTTCTTGAAGAGCGACGCTAGCATAGACTTCAACGAAGCCGGTAATTATCTAAGAAGAACAAGATTCGTTCATCCATTTAACTGGTTAGCTGTAGTTGTCAATATTTTGCGTTACGACAAACATACTCATGGAAAAAATAGTTACAATTCGCTATTTAAATTGCAATTTTAACAAAAACTAAAATATATTCGTAAATTTCAAGATGTTTAAAATATTTGGGAACCAAGACGAAAGAAAACGAACAAAGAGAAAAATATGAATAATTATTATGGAAAAACTGTATACGCTGTGAATTTGGTCACACAATTTAGGTGCACAGTTTTCTCAGAGGTCACCATAGCTAACTGGTTAATCGTTCAAGTTACAAGATAATGAGTTGATACATAAATAAACTCCTGATCTATATTCCAAATCAAAATTTGTTACCGAAAAGCTAATCTTCAACGCAAGTTGAGACTAGTGTTGAAATTACCATAAAAACAATGACTTGCTAATTATTTGGATCGGAAATTTATTATGTATCAACTCATTGGTTCATTTTGAAGAAGAACAAGGCGAAGACGGATCATTATATTTCTAGATAAAACGGTGACCATAGTAGAACCTTGCCCGACCAAGACGTCCGTCCTAGTACTGGGTGTGACATGCGCCCTCTTGGTCCTGATCTACATCTCCACTATCTTCTGCTACTACATGAAGAAGTCGCTGTCGCCTCGCAAAATGATGCCCTGAGGAGCAATCACCGCGAATCTGAATTCACGAGGGAGGCGATTGGGTATCGAAGATCGTTCGCGCGCGATGAGCCCGAGGGACTCTTCGTTCGCCTAAAGAAATCCGCTTTTCGCGCACATCGTTCGCACAAACACGCTCTACGTTTAATTCCTTCCCGGAACAGTGCGGACGTCGCCGATTTCTTTAAGCGGACCGCATTCCCAGTGGAACAGTCCTCGGACTCGTCGCGGAACATTCATCACTCACGATTAGGATCATCGCATTCAATTATTTCTCGCATTCCCGAGCCGTACGGGAACGACGGAAAATTTTGCAACCGGGATCTTCACAAGGGGAAAAGGGAAAATCGGTAGCATCCTCCAAAAGCAGAATCGTCTCGTTAAAAAGGGTCTCCGACGAGACGGGAAGGATCGCGCGCAGCGAAAGTCACGAGCCGGGTTGTGCAACGCTGTTAAAGAGAAACCTTTACGCCGATGGTACCGAGACCGCACTCATTATAGAACACTTTAAATATAATTTCACGCGGACATGCGACATTATTGGTCGCGGGTGACGAGGATCACGAGGCGTGCCGCTTGTGCAACGTCTCGCGAGGGGGAATAGTTTAAACACGTACTTACACACGTACACACAGAATCCCACGTGCGCGTGCACATCTGAGGATCGATTTCGCATACGGCGACATAGGTGACAAACATACATCGACTTCAGAATATCTTCCACACGTATACAGAGGACTCTCTTACACTTTAACGCATTTTACGTCTGATTCCATTTCACACTCCTTTATACATAATATTTATCGTGCATATCTGGATCTTATGGATCGCATAATGGGACGGAGATCGTAGGGATCTCGCGTGCAATATTTCGAGCGGGAGGCGAGTCGCGGAACAGAATCGGTTCTCTCGGCGGCGATGAGGAAACGATCGATATCGGGGACGATCTCTTCGTTCGCTCGGTCGCGAGCATCGTCGTCCGGGCGTGAAGTTGTTCCTCGGTCCTCGCAGGATCATACAGTTCATTCTTTTCTAAGGAAAGACGACCGGGGACAGCCCCAGCGGCGAACGTTGCAATAGGTACACTTTTATTTAAGGTCATCTTTAGACACAGCTAACTGTCTTTACTCCCTGAACGGCTACTTCTGATCGGGTTGCAAAGAGTGAAACAAGTGGAAGGCAGCGACAGTCATCCCCTTCTCTACCCCCACACACCATTTGTTCAATGTGTCACTGCCACGACATAGGGCCCCGTCCGATCCATTCGGCACGGCCCTGGGCCCGACTTTTTATTCCACGCGAATCGACTTGTAACCTGTATCAAGACTAGCGATATTTAAAGGTTCACGCTTCACTAACGTCTTTAACGATACAACATAGCGTTTAAGGAATAGGAAATAAGCGGAGCATGGAAGCATAGTTAAAAGAAGAGAGAGCAAAGGAGAACGAGCGAAAGAGGAGGAGAGCGTTTCTCTCGATCGCGGTGTCCAAGTTTTCGATCTCTCGTGGTTACTGGTGCTTTTGTCCATCGTTTTCAAACGCAGTTTTTCCTTCTTTCACTTGCGACGAATGCTTCGGTCTTTCGTTAGATGCGATCGCCGGTTCAACGAATCCGGATCAGCGTGTAGAGCGGCCGGAGAATGCCGACGCATTCGGCATCGATCGGGAAATCGATGAAGGTGCCAAGCTCTCGGTTTGAATACTTCGGCCCTTAGCGTCGGAACAAACGAGTTTTCGAAATTTCAATGAAAATTTTCACTATTACGAGAAGTTTCATTGTTAACAGGAATTTTATCGTCGTAAGACCATTTTAAAATTCAAATATCATTGTCAATTGTTAAGAGGAATTCCATACCGATCAGAGTGCAGCTGATAATAAATCGAAGTACGATAAAGATACTTTTATATATTTATTTTACGGAAAATGAAAATCTGAAGTAACTCGCATTTCAATTAATGCTCGGCCCATTCATCGACCGTTCCCGACCTACACACAAATTGGTACGGCAATTGGATTTCTGAGGTGAGAGTCGGCCTGCCGAAGGGGTGGAAAACGAACGAGCGAAGTGTATATATTATTGGATTGTAGTAGGTACTCGAAATGGAGACACGTATACAAGCATCAAATATCATATGTATTCGTACTCTATTTATGTAAGCGAAAGTTTAAACAATTAAACTGAAAGAACATTTTCGAAAAACTCCGTCAGTTGTGTCAAAACCCCTTCCATTCCACGCTGTCCCGAGATCATCAATCAATCCTTCCCATCATAGGACAAGCGAGCAACGGTGCGAAGGATTCGGAACCGATTGGTCGAGGGCCAAACACCGCACCGTCCATCTAATGCTTATGATTAATTACTCGTGCTCGGGTCACACGTGTGTACCGTTTATTGTTGCCGCGCGAATATTAATATGAATCACGTTGATACAATTGCGGTTCGAAGATTGGTCAGTTGACTGTAGATAAAAATAATTGCGAGCGTCTTCGTTTTAAAAATAGAGCCGCGCTGTTGCGTACGACGTCTGAAGGATATACGCGACTTAAGCGGGACTTAAAATTACCGCGGATCGTTGATCGATTCGTTTGATATTTACCTGCCGATCCGAGTAATAAGGAAAAAAATATATTTATTTGCACGAGATACGGCCGGCGAGAAAGGCTGTTTCGTTAATTCTTATAAACTCGGACGATACATATTTCCGCGGTGCATTCAACGGTACAACGAAATCGCGAGTCGATGACGAGTCATCGTGCTTTAACGAGGTTTCAAAGGCTAGCGTTAATCGATAAGAAATTTAACGAGCTTAACTTCTCTCGACCCTCGCAGGCGGCGGTTATCTGGACGATAAATACTTTCAAGCACGTTCGTCGAAAGACGTTTTGCAATAGACGATGGAGAACGACTGAATCATTTTCAACCGCAACGAATATCTTTGGCCGCGTTTCGTTTCAACCAGCGAACACACGGTAAAATTGCGTTAGATCTCGTGCAATTTTCGTTCAACGATATCACGCGGTTATCGGCTTTATGGCTTTTTACTTTAAGTCAATTAAAATTGACCGGCATCGATATTCAATCGGAATTCAAGCTACGCAAAGCGGCCGTTTTAGAGGACACGCGGAAAGTAATAATAAAAAGAGCGCCTATAACATGTTTCGAGGAAATTTCTTACACATGCCTTAGGTAGAATCATTCAGAATACTTCCTGCAACATTATCACAAAGGATAGAGCAAGGAGCAGAATATTACAAAGCCGATTGAGCGCTTACAAAATTGTTCTCTATTTTCCTGAGGCTTTTTCAACTTTGGACGCAGCCCTCACAGTAATTTCGAACTCAAAGTTGTCCAATCCTACACGGACTGCCCTAAATAAGATTGACTCACGCCCAAAACATAAAAGTCTGAATATCGCTGCGCGCATTATGACTAATGCATTAACATGGATAATACCAATTTAGCATATGGTCTAATACGAAACCAATACTTATTAATCATCGCGCGATAAAAAGCGCCGATAAAAAAAGAAAAGAAAGGTAAGGTCGGAGCGTCGATAAAGCGAGTCGCGGATAACTCATCGCTATTTAGACACTCTTTAATTTTTTACCGCTCGGTCGATAAAGCGAATCGCGGCCGCGGTGCGCGCGGCGAGGTCAGAAACTAGACCCGTAACGATTTCGTGCTCGGATTCAAGGCTTTCCACGTAAACGGGGAATCATAGCGGAGAGGATGCTAAAGGCAGTCGTGGTTTCGAGCTGTGCTCGTCGTTCCGAGTCGCCTTTCCGTTGTCTTTCGTCGCCCCCGTCGTGCCAAAGGCGAGTGTATGGCAACCTCGTCAACCTCGATACGCCTTCGCCAATGATAAGATAAAAAGGTTAGCATGTGTACGTTTCTGGTCGAACGGAGACGCGAACGTGGGCGTTGTTGCATTTCGCCTCGCCTCGTCTCGCGAGCTCCGTTCCTCCCGTTTGATTCACGATCAATCGTCTTTCTCCTTTACGCGCGTGGTTCGTGGTCAACTTCCAACCTCCCCTCCTCTCTGCCGCCCCTTAGCACCACTGCCTTCACCGCGTTCCGCGTTCTCGACAACACACGGCCCGTTCCGGCATTCACGAAAGAAAGCGTAAACGGACCAAGGCGTAACGCACGAATCGCGCGATATTTCGGCGCGGCGAGGCGAGGCGAGGCGAGAGAAAGAGAGAGGCACGTTCTCGTGGCGCGAGGTTAAGCCACGATCCACGAAGGTATGCGCAGGTATGCAGCGAGTAGGCGCCATCGCGCGACCGCCCACGGAGAAGGTATATTTCTGTATTCGTGTAGGTACGTGGGCAAACGAGCGATGCGACCAACTGTGACGCCTAACCTACGTGCACGACCGGAGAGAAAAAAAAATGATTCATGCACGGCCGCTGCACTTTTGCTCGATCGCGGTCGTCCGATCACCGGCGAAACATAATTAAGTTTCAATCGTTGCTCGAACGAGCGGCGTACGGATCGTCCCCTTTTTTTCTCCCGCTTCTTTTTCAACCAGCTAGACACCTTCCGGTTGATGAGATTTTTTAATTGAACGGCGCTCACGTTTTCATGCCGGATGTCGCTACCTTTTGTTTGATGCGCGCATTGAAATTCATCTGAATCACTGAATCTCGTTTCTTTCGTGACCTAGCCGATGGAATTCGAGGGAACCGACGATTGAGGAGGATTCGGACGTTCCGTCAAAGTGGCAGTGTGTGCACGGATAAGTGTACTTATGCGCCGGCTAGAGACTGTACACGCAGACACGCGTGCGACGAGAGAACGTATACAATTCGACAGCGACACACACACATCGATAGAGATTCGTGCGCTGGTGCACGTGTGGCGCTCTCCCAGTTCGCGTGTACGTAAATAAACTTAGGTTATAAAGTCGGGAATGAGATTTTAACGAGAGCTTCTTACCGGGAACATGTTAACCATGCATACTTCTGTACAGGAACACGAGTCGGCTTGTAATCCGTTG